CATAAATGATTACCCTATGGAGCCACCTCAAATGTGATGGCAGGTTGGCCGTGGATTTAAATTAAATGTCAATTTACTGAGCTCCAATTTCTGTATACAAAATTTAATAACAATTCCAGACATTTCCCCAAACATTTTTTTTTCGTTGGCCCAGACATGCATGCATGAACATGAAATTTTGCTAAGTGACACGGATTTTGATTATCTACCAAGTTGCTCTCTCTTGAGCAAAATCGGAGAATACATGTTCAGCGATCATAATCACTTTTCATACTTCTTCCAGATCTGAAGACCTAATCAGAGAATATTTGCCGCTCATCATAACCCCCTCTTACTCTATATACCTTTCTCCTGCATGCACAACCTCAATAAAATCATTGAGCAAAACATATCTTCTCCCAGAAACCTTAAGAATCGCTCAAGTCTATGGCAAGCTATTAGGAGAATTAACATGTTGACTGACCTTGATTTCTTGAGGGTGTTCGCCCTCGGCAATCCTAACCATCCACAGAAACTTGTTGATATCATCACCAGAGTAACCAATCACACCGCCGAATATAACCAGCACATAATCCACATCCAGCATCTTCATAATCTTGTACGCCGCTGTCTCGTTGGACGACATGGCTTTTCCAACCTGACATTGAAAAAGCGAAAGACTGCCATTACAGTGAAACTACTTTAACCATGGCTACCTAAACAATTTCTCAGCAAATTGACCGATAGGACTGAGTGTAGTCACATATGTTGTGCGTGGCTTGCTTTGATTGATGATTTTTCGGAAAAGTATTAGCAAAATGATGTTGGGCGACCTTGGCTGAAGGAGTCAAACTGTAAACGAATTGTTTTTCTCGTTCTCAGAGCCTCCAGTTGTTTGGGTCACGTGCTCACTGTTACACCAAGGCAAACTAAAGTAACACTTGTCACGGGCTGGAAATATATAAATGAATATGCATAACTGTGTTTTGAAATCGGTCAAAGCCATATTGTTCGCAATCAAGATGAACAATAAAATGCCCCGGGGTCTGTTTTTCTGTTTTCATCGGCACCTGCTACACGCTGGAACTACTTTCTCGTATAGCACCTTGTCCAACATTGCTTGTCGTCAAACACAGATAACAAATTTACCACAGTGAGAGCTCACTTAAGCACTACTTGCGACAAAGCGCGACTTTTCTACCAGTAGGTTTTTAACTTTTTCACCTTGTTTTATCTAAACATGTTTACTAGGTGTGTGAGTTGGTGTGGTCTAATAGCAACACCCTGAAATAATTTGTGTTAAATTAATTGAATTCTGTGTCCATACCAGGGCTATATGACTGTTATTCCACGTGTTATTGTCCACAAGTGTCGTTCTATTGGCCATACCAGCAATCTGATACCCATAATCCCACCAAGACATTACCCTGCAATAAAGACAGTGATTTTCTTTACTTTCAATACAAGACTTCACAGTTAACTATAATACGCTTATTATCAACAACATTGTTACAATCCATGGTGAACAGCAACCACCTTCTGCATGACTTACACACGTAATTTTGTTATGGCGTCAAAGAATACTATCTATATTACTTGCAAAAAAATTCGCACGATTTTAATTTCGGACAAGAAAGTGTCCGAAAAAAAAAAACCGTCCGAAATATTTACAGTACAGTATAAAATTTTTAAGCAGCGTCAAAGCTCTTAGTTTCCTTTGTAAGGCGAGCTCTAGTTGAAACACTGTTTGAGATTAGTACGTGATGTCCGAAATAAAACGTCCGAATTTTTTTGCAAGCAATGTAGGCTATAATTTTCGCTTCAAGCAGTATTCACACAAAACCATTCATAACAAAATACATGTACGTTCAACTTCCAAGGTTTATTTACATGCAAGTCAACCATAGGAGAGAGGGCTTAAAGTGCTTTAGTTGTCGGCAAATCAATCTTAACCCACCGAGCATTGTCGTCTGTATTCTGTCTAAGCCAGAAGTATGCTTCTCTGAAATCATCTAAAATGTTTCGACTCCTGGAGAGAGACAAAAAAATAATAATATATTAGATATAAACAAATTATAAAAATGCCGCTTAATTACTAACTGTTTGAATGATGTTTTGAGCCATGGTTGATTGTAGCTAAAAGTAAATCATTATGTTACTGATGTTGTGGAAATATAAATGAGCAAAATTTAAATGAGCATTTTATGAAATCACTTCAATGATGTTCCTACAACTACCGAAGAAAGACAGCATGGCAGAAAAAAAAACATTCCGATCAAAATTATTTGAGCCAGTGTATCGGTTGAGCACTCAAGTTAGGGTAACCGATCTACTTTCATTCTACTACATAACAGATTGATCTTTTCAATGCAAAGTGGTTATATACAGTAGAAACTCTCTGCAATGGCCACCTTGGGGACACAGGAAAGTGGCTGTTGTGGAGAGGTGGCCGCTATAGGGAGGTGGGGGTGTAATATGACCCCTTTTCAGGGGGATGTAACATTTTTAATTTTTGAAAAATGCTCATTTTAGTTTCTAAATACGTGACACAATCAAAACGTATCCATAAAACAGAAATCCATAGTATCCATAGTGTCCATAGTACAGAGCACGTTTCATGACCTTTTACTTTTAAAGAAAATCGGTCAGGTGTTTGTATTCACCGTTCGTCAGTCGTTTATTAACTGGTCGTTGCCGAGAGGTTTTTTCACAGTTGGGACACGCTTTAGAGGTTGTTGCCGTTGTGGAGAGGTGGGCATAGTAGAGAGGTTAAAATAAAAGTAAATGTATGGACCGTCCGCCGGGACGAAAAAGGTGTTCGTTAGAGCAGGTTCGACGGTATCTATTTCTGTACCTACAATAAGAAATCAAGTTACTGACCAGTACAAACGATTTGCCTTACCCATCATAGTTAGTAGACGCCAGCACGACCGAGGGACTGGAGTAGGCATTACTCGTCACCCAGGTGCAATGTACCGCAAACATCATCAGCATCATCACTATGCACATGACAACCATTCCCTTGAGATTAGCTCCGATCACTCCACCATCTTCCTCTTTTTCTATCTCTTGTTCCTGCTTCTTGTTATTCTGAGACTGAGACTTCTTCTTACCAGGCTGGAGGGAAAGAGAATTTTTGTGTTTTTTTCATTTTTTTATTTTTTTGAATTTTTGTTTTAAACTTAGAATAAAGGAAGTAGACTGCGAGAGAATCTGCTTTTTCGACTCGGTTCACGCGCTGAAATGACAAATTTCACGTGTGAAACAAGAGCCAAAAAACCGGCTGCTCTCACAGGCTATAGAGTAAGGGAAATTAATTATAAAAACAGAGTTCATGTTAATCAAAGATGGTGGAATTCCAGGAGTATTCCAGGATACAAATATAAAATTTCAAGGACCTAGAAATCAAGCAAAAGTGCCAGTATTTAATTGAAAAGTCTTGGAAGAAAAGTTGGAGAAAAATGAAACAATGCACAGTCAAAAAAACTAGTGCCATCATCAACGAGCTTGAATAAATGAGCTTGAAGAATTTGAGATCATTACTGTATACTGACAGAATAAATGCTAAGAAAATTATCAACTAGGATTACCTAGTCTTCAAGTTTAACCAATTGATCCAGAGTCTACATGCTAAACATTCAGTCAGACACAAATGAATCAACATTTGAATCTTTCAGACAAGTTTGCACATACCTTATCATACAGATCTTTCTTCTTCTTCTTGTCATTTTCTTCACTACTGCTGTCTACATCAGCAGAAGCAGCTTCAGACTCCTTGTTCTCAGATGGCCGATCATCGACAAGGTAGTTATCTAAAGTCACAGAGAAAGCAATGGCTGCCAGGATGCACACAACTGGAGTCAAGGTCAACATGAGACGAACCATCACACCAGCAAAATACACAGCTGTGGTAGCGTAGAGAACAACTGCAATGAAAACATACGGAGACATTAAAATCTTCATTGTTACTGATGAGTGCTCAACATAGCTGCAATAAAATTTCCCATACAGGACATTTCCTCTTTAACAAATTGATTAAATCTTTCCATGGTCTTTCCATGACCATTGATAACACATCATATAATGTTCAAAAAAACTCATTTAATGAATGGAATCACTTACTACTTCTGCAGAGTTTTGAGCAAGTTATTACATCATTTCTATAGTTGATAAGAGTGTAGACCATGCAAAAAATGTACGTATATGTAATTGGCCACTCCCCATCAGGACTTTTCAGGACCATTGTAAACAACCAATGATAAATAAATATTCAAATACACATAACTAGGTTAAGAATCCCGACTGGTGGGAGACAGACCAGTTGGCTATTTACAAGCATAGTCGAGAAGTTGAACTCAGAGGAGGTACTGCCAATGATGCCTTTATTCTTACAGGCTTTAGAGGTGAGCTTTTAAAGCATTAACACGACCAAACAACTGAAAGTTATTGATTGCAAGTTTAGGGTTCAAACTTCATAAGAAAACCACAAAAGGAGGGGGAGGGGGGAAAGGACTCCCATATAAAAAGGACAGGGGTGCTTGGCATACCTCTTAGGGGTCAAAAAGCGGTCTTGGTACCTCTCAGGCTGTTCAGCCTTAAAAGGTCGACAAAGAGAGCTTTCACGAAACCTTTCAGGGTATTAAGTGAGAAGAAAAATGACTGGAGATATTTGACAATCAACTGATTATTAATGTGTCGTTTTAGAATTGGTACCTCTTAGGCGTGAAAAAATTTCAAGCCACACCCACAAAGCAAGATCTTGGTACATGTACCTCTTCTGAAAGGAGTTTGTTTCAAAATTTCCCACAAGCACCTCCAACCTTTTCATATGGGTGTTCCCCCCTTCCCCAGGGGAAAAAAACACATCCTTTCTCACCAAACACTCTTTCATCGTTGATTTTCTTGACCACAAACCACAGGCCAGCAGGAAAGGTGCAAATTAAAATGTGAAGGTCAAAAAAGAATGACACCCACGTAGTCGGCTGATGTTCAGAAACAGACGCAATAATCGGAATGTGAATCTTGGCATATCTGAAAAATAATAATTATTTATTCAAAATCTCAGGCATAAAGATTTTGTCCGTGTGCTCAGAAAATTGAAATACAGTGGAAGCCTACCTTACAGCCACCTCATTGTTAAAGTCACTTTATTCTGACCCGAACAAGAGCTTAGTCAGTCATTTCATTATTTAGGAACCCCTTTAATATGGCCACTCTGTTGATACAGCCAGATTTCTGTGGCCTGTCGGTGACCAGATTTAGAAGGTTCCACTGTATTTCTAAGCTGGTAATGCATGTACAATTATTTCAGCTTCCAAGCTTTGATCGTGAACTGTTGAGTTCTTTTTAACAGTCTTTTATGATAGATAGACTATCTTCAGAACACTTAAAAACAAATGCTCACCCGGTATCATATAAGGAATAAAATCTTCCACTCCACGGTGCAACATAACCTAAAGGAAAACAGCACTGAATCACTTGATGGTCCATCCATGAGAAATATAGTGAAATGAAATCCCCCTACACAAGGTTATCTCTAGTCACTCTTCCTGGTCCATAGTCTCTCTCGTTAGTCATAAACTTTGCAAAATTCTTCTCAATGAAGTTCTTGTCAAAAATAAATGCTTAAGGAATACTGTGGATAATCAAACTCTGAGCATTGTTTGATTCTAACTTATGTTCATATCTCACAAGAACAGTGGATACTTGAATAGCTATATTAACTGTTAAGGTATTACTGACAATGTCATGTAAAATCAAGTGGAGTGATACATACCAGCGTAAGTAAGGAAAATGACAGCGACAAACACTAAACCAGCCACAGTTACTACAGCAAAAACAAAAATGTTCTTGAAATCAGTCCATGATATTTTTGTTCTCAGGTACACCAAAAATGCATAGGCCTGGAGCAGGGCAAATGTGCCTGAAAAGCAAAGAAAAAGTACTGTTCAATGACACATTCATCAATAGGAGATGTGGGCTTAACTGAAGCAAAACCATTCACAAAAATCTAAACCTAAAATATCAAACGTTTGAGCTGCTTACATGCAAATTAAATCAGGAAACAAACCTGAATTAAATTAGGAAACAAACCTGCCGCAGCCATGTGTTCACTTGTCCTGATTGGCTGGAAACCAACAAAAGGTACTTGCATAGACATAAGGAGACCCATGATGAAAAAAGTTGTGTATGCTGAAAAGAAAAAAACAAAAATATTTTCTGGTAAAAACACACTGAGACTCTGCCATATCCAGCAGCAAGATAATACACAAGTCTGTTCTCTTCTTTGGTATATTCAAGACATGTAACAGAAAATCCACTATCAGAAAGGTAGGTAATGAGTGCAGGGAGAAGTTTGTGAACAACTCTGTTATGCCTTTGGAAAACACACAGCTGATACTGCACGGTACCACACACGTCCTACAGTTCATGACGGAATGTGCACCCATGAATGCACACTCAAAGAGGGGACGAAAATGCCAAGGACCAGATCGAGTCAGTTGACAATCAGTCATCATCAAAACAAAACACAATAGCTTCATTAATTGTAGAAAAAATAAGGAGATATGTTAAGGTTTTCTTTTCAAGCCAGTTTAGACATGTACTTTGATGGAAATCAGTTTACAACTGTTCTGTTGCCCAGTTCAGAGGTGATTTTATCACTTGATTTGGAATAGTATTTGCAGCCAGCTACCTGTCTGTGAGTTGTTTTTTGTTCACAGCTCAGAATAAGTTTTTTGTTGGGTTGAGAATTTGTTTCGTTTCAGGGCTGTTAATCCTTAGAAGGAGAAAATTTTAGTTTCTTTTGTTGATCACTTGTGTTGTACCTGTGCAATAATTGGTGAAAATGTCTGACATGGACCTGTTTGAAGAGGTTACAATGTAAAACAGTTTGTATTATGATAAAGATTATTTTGTCCCATTTGGATGTTGTGTTATTGTCAAAGAAAACTGAGTCTTACATGAAAGTGGAGGGCACACTTACCAACGTATATCCTGAATGAGAACCTCCCCATGAGAAGCAGAAAGAAGACGTGAAGAGGAATCAGATTGATTATGAACACATATCCACCCCATGCTGAGACCTAGAAGTTAAATGTGACAAGAAAAATAAACACAAACTTCATAAATTATTTCGTAGAGGACCCTTAACAAATAACTGAAAACTGATGTCACATTTTTATTATTAGTAACAATTCCATGAATTCACATTACATGTACATACTAACCATATAGAAGTATGATAAGCTGGTACATGCTGCCCAGAACACTGAACCAGTCTTAACAGATTTTACCTGCATTAATTAAACAAAACATGTTAAAATAATGTACTTAAAAAAATTATGAAGACAGGGGTACACGGTATAGCTCTTCTCACTTGGTCATCAAAAATCAATTTTTCATTATTAATAGCAAACAATATTTTAAAGAAGTGGTTGTTATCACAGCAGATAGCTGAAGATATTAGTGAGCTCATCTTGCCCATTTGGATCACTTTAAATCCAAACCTTATAAGGTGGACAGGCAAGCAAAGTTCATGACTTGCACACATCTCATTATTGTCTTGTGAAAGTGACCTCTGAGATGGTAAATTTATATCATTACCTTACGTTCCAAGTGGAATCCTTACCACCTTTCTTGGCAGCCAGGGTTAACATTTGGCATAAGACTATACACTGAATTACCGGTACACAGGTTGAAAAAGAAGAAAGCAACCATTCACATTTAGAGTTTCATTGCAAGACAGACAGCAAGCCAATTGCCAAAGTTTGAACATTCAAAAGAATTGTTCACTCCAACGCTTCATGACAAGCAAAATTTACCAAATGTGGAACATGGATAGATAGAATAGCGTCTTGTATTTGTTTCACATGAATATGATGAAAACAACTTTGACCAGAGATACATTAAATGTAACTCTGCCCATTGTTAATCTCTAAGGAACTCACTGCTCATTGTGTGTGTGTACTGCTATCAAACTCATAATAAAAATGTATATCACTACCTACCCATAGGAAATAAGTAAACTGCAATGCAAAGATGGCTATTCCTTCATTGTCATATGATCCTGCCACTGACCGAGATATGTACCCAGGAACTGCAAGAAGTACCCATGACAGTCACAAGTTAATCAGTATCATATAAAATTATAGTCTACATTGGACCAAAGAGTNAAATTCCAGGACTTTCCAGGTTTTCCAGGACCCATACGAACCCTGTACTACCCCCTTAACAGGATACTGGTCAATCGCAGTGAGTACTTCTTAAGCACTAAATCTGCAGGTCCCAATTTTATACACCCATGGGGAGATGAGCACAGTGCATGGGCCCGGACCAGGGGTCGAACCTAAACCACTCCAACTAGAGCACAGTACAGTGATTATTAGCCCATTAGGCCACCAAGCCACCCACATCAGTAAAGCATACATGGATGATAGGTATCAAGGCCGCCAATAAGGGCCATAACCCGTAACACCTGTTATGGCTGAGTATGCTTGATTTTCCCTTGATGTTACAGGTGAAATTACCCGTTGTTGATAGAATTGAACCACAAGGTAACAAGTTTGCTACGGGTTTGGAGAACGAGGCTACAAGATGACTCAAACCTTAATGACAGCCCTGAGTATTACCATATCAGTGCAGTGTATAAACATGTACATGTAAGATGTATGACTAACCAATTGCTATGAAACAAGCAGCAAAGAGGCCAGCACGGTCATTCCACAGCTCCTTGGTCAGCAAGTATGTTGCTATAGCTGTGAGACCACTGAGGAGGTAAAACGACAAAATGGAATTCACAACAGGCATTAATGTTAAGTACTGCAGTTAAAACTGACACACATTAACTGTCACAAAGGTAAGTAAAATTACTTAATAAACAGGCTGGACCAGAATGCAGCACCAAAAAAAATGTCACTACAAAATATGATTCTTTTTGTGTAAGTTTAGTCCACTTTCCTTGACAGAAAGAAAAACAAATGTTGAAATTTTCTCAAGCTGAATTGTATCCTCTTAATAACTTATGGGTAATAAAAGTGAGTGGAGTCCAATTCACTCGGAAGTATTGAAAAGATTGGATGTCCATGAATTCGGTGTCTGACTTCTTTAATCACATGATTACAGATCGCATTCGATAGATAACACAAAGTCCTGTTACCAGTTAATTATAACTAACAACAAAATTTGAAAGAAAAGGTTAGAAGGGTTCATGAATAAAAGTAGTTGTAGTCTTAGAGCTCCATAATAGAGGGATCCATTCAAGTACAACTGCCCTGCAACAGCACACACCAATGCACCAGGCATGAGACATAATTGAAAGGCCGCGTGCAAGAACGTCCCCTAGATTTTTCAGCCATTTTTGAAAGTGCGTAAAACTAGCTGAATTTTGGCATGTGGGCTTCGTTTCACCTGAGAAACATT